TGCAAAAGAATCGAGATGTTCACGATTTCAGTACTGTTAAGCTTAAAGTAAATGTCACGCTACAGTGGACTGATATCTGAAGTGATGCCGCACTAATGATTATGCGAATTGACCTTTGGTGCCACGCTTACCTCGATGCGACCATGACTTAGCATATTTACAATCTCACTTGTGTGACAAACACGCAACGGAGTGCTTTCAACCAATTCCCGCCTACATCTTGCACATACGGAAAAGATGCAGGTGTTACAGTACTTCGGTATCGCTGCAGTCGTCGTCCTCTTCGTTTATATCATCGCCAAGATACTTCAAGGAAAAGAAAAGAAGCGATCTGCAAGGCCTGGAACGGTAGTTCTACACCAGTTTCCTCCTTCCGAGCTCTGTGTTTCGGGGGGCTCTCCGCCATGTTTGAAGTTGGAAACTTTCCTCCGCATGACAAAGATCCCGTACGAAAATGAATACAGTTTTAAATTCTCCAAAAAAGGCAAAATGCCGTGGATTGAGTTCAACGGGCGCGACACAGCAGACTCTAATTTTTGTATTCGGTTCTTGACGAAAGAGTTCAAAATTGACATCGATTCTCACTTGAATTCCGATGAAAAAGCCATCGCGCACTCTGTTCGAACTATGTTGGAGGAAAATACCTACTGGTGAGTGAATATTTAGCCATCACTATGTATAGCTATTTTATTTCGTGCTTAATAACAAGTGTCACGGTATTCTAAAAAGTATTCACGTAATGATACGCTTCGTCGGTTCGCAGATGCCACTTTATTGCTGTCGCGTCAGATCAAGTTTAATCTTTTCATCATTCAGTTCAAGGTCGTTATTGATAAACTGTGTGTGACTTTTTTGAAAACTAACCTAGTCATTCTCAATAACAATATCGCTCGAGGTTTTTTCTCCAGCCCGCACAAGTACGGCTTGTGTGACTATGTACGGCTGAGGGACAAACAAACGATCTTTCTTCGAACATTTTCTGCTTTATTTACAGGGCCCTTGTGCACTATCGATTCTTTACTCCCAGCTATGCTGAGAAAGATCGCGAGATAATGTTTGGTCATCTTATCATGCCGATCAAGTATCTTTTATACTATATTATCCAGCGAAGGGTCAAGAAGGATTTATGGTCGCACGGAATGGGTCGACACTCGGAGCAGGAGCTCTATGGAATAGCGGAAAGGGATCTTCTTGCAGTGTCAGAAATTTTGGGGCAGAAGAAGTTCCTGTTTGGTGAAAAACCTTGCCTTGCTGACGCTGCAGTATTCGCTTTTGTCTGTGGAGCAACTTGGGAGTGTCCACAAAGTCCTTTTGCCGAGCTCACGGCCAAAGCTAAAGCTCAGAATCTTCAGAGACACGCTCAGCGAATGAAGGAGCTGTATTTTCCAGATTGGGATGATATCATTTCCAAGAAACCTAAGTCTTCCTGAAGCTAGAAGTTTCCGCAATCTCACGACCTTCTTAGTTACGTTTTATGATACATTGTTATGCTTCTTCGCTTTGTTTTTCTGTTTTCGATACCGTAAAGAAACAATATTGAGAGTAATCTTGAATACTAACCTACTACCGCATTCGTCTCTTTTTGCTTTCATTCTTCCATTTCTAAGTTCCAATCCATTACCTAAAAGTTTCGAAAGAGTCTCTGTGAGCAGCAGTTTCAATTAATGCCGGTTTCTGGAGGTTTAAACCCGATTGCAAGTTGTGACGATAGGTTTTTTCGAACTTACTGGACTGTTGCGGGGAACGCAACAATAACGGGGGAAAAGAGCTCAGTAGAGACCACTTGGTAGCGAGAACGGAAACTCGTCACGATTTCCTGCTACACGGCGACCTGCTTCAAGTGAGCTTGCTACGAACGTCGAGGATCAGACAGCGTTTGGTTCCACAGTAATTTTATTTTAGTTCATACCGACAGTTGACATCACCTTAAACAAACTCAATTATGTAATCGAAAAAGCTTACTTGCTTATGTATCAGCGGGTGCGAGGTTCTATTATCACACAAACTGCAATATTTGAATACGGTTACATTAGAGTGGAAAATGTATCTTTGTTGTTAAGCGATTTTATTTAAATATTCCATCTGTTCAGAAAGAATTTCAAAAGTAAGATAGCGGATACAATAGACTCTACACCATTTAAAGAGAACAAACTTACGTCAAAACTCACAGCTCTGAAGTTAAAAACACCCATCCTAGTTGCGGATGAGCTGCTTAGGAAACAAAAGTTAACAGTAATAATAATTTCTGCTCATCAATGCGATGTTGGTGTTGAGTTCGGAAAATAATTCTGCATGAAAGGAATACGAACTTACGTCCACAAACTCCGCTACCAACTTCCATAAGAACCAATTTTCAGAAAGATCATTAGCACTTATATTTATATTTTAGTGACATGCTCAGGTACTGTCTTAGTTGCGTGATGATAGCGTGAAGTGTAACGAATTCGCTCCTTTCGTTACTTCATGTTCTTTCATTGTATTAAAAAGTCCATATCTAGTGTCTCCACTGAAGAAGTCTCCTTCTTGAGTGTCTTCATCTTATACTATATTTTTTCGTAGGGTACTATTAATTTTTTAGTCGAAGTTCAAGGCCTTTTGTCTCTTAGTCGTTGGGCACAAAGCGGACAGTTAACAGATAGAAGGAAATCTTTGTAAGGAAAGCTTTGTCTTGCTCCAAACACGTAGATACGTGGTTCAGTTGCTAGTCGCACCCAGCTAGTATCTGGAAGGCACGGGTTCGAGCGTCCTTTATCCCGTAATTTTCCTTAATTTTTTTGACCGAAGTTCACCAGCGAGGATCATTCATTATTGGCTTTTTTTTGTGTGTGTGTGTGTACTAAATCCGAAGGTCAAAATTTGATTCATTCCCAGCATTTTGATCTGTAAATTAATATAAGCATCTCAGCCACCGTAACAGCAGAAAATTTGAAGTCTAAATACAATGTTACATATACTAACGTCAAATTTAGTGCTGTGTATACTTGTTTCAGTGTACCTGAAGATCTGTGTAGTAGATGCTTAAGCGCCATGGCCTCTGTCCTTGAACGTCCCGTTGATTATGCAACCATAATCACACCAGAGGGTCGTGCTACTGTCCAGTGAATATTTTATCCTAAGTGTAACGCTACTTGTCACGAAAGGTTAATTTTATAACAATAAGTTAGAGATTGTTTATAAATATTTTTTCGCCTTAATGGAGAAATTCGCTATTGCTCCACACGTCAGTTCCATCGCCTTCCCTATGGAGTTGCGTAGAGACGTAACTATTTTTAAAAACATCTTGGGATTTCTTTGAGGACAAGAATATCCGGAGCTTTGCAAGTAGAAGGAGCGCTGGAAAGTGACCAAGACATCACTTTGAGTGCGTTGCATCAGAGCTTTTGTTTGAAGCGTTTGTGGTGTGCCTTTGTGGCATGCCTGTATGGTTGATAACCCTACACTCAGTTCAGGAAGACATCGTAATGGCAAAGCAAACAGAGCAGATTCGCGACGGTTCTGTTTCATGCGAACGAAGCAACAGTTATTTAGCAATTATTTACCTCAGTCTTCGTGAATATTGTGGAATAAGTACTATATTCACTATGCCTGAGGCGAATAATTGTTTAAGCATCGTTTCTGGGGTGCTTTCAAATTCTGTTGTTGAACCATGAAATAATGACTTTTGTTCAGGACCGTAAAGAGGAACATAAAATAGTTAAGAAAATGCACAAGGAAGCCCCGTGTTCTAACACTAAATTTTCGGGACCAATTTGCCAGGAAATGTGTCGCAGCTCGAGGGGAGAATCAACGATGAGTTGTTGGAAGTTCAATGGTTAACGTGGTACACTTACGCAAAGTTTTCCTGTCCCACGTATCTGGCGTCAAAGAATTTTCTTGTGAGAACTTTGAATATGCGCCAGAGAGCACTTATTCTATAGTGTGCAAAGTTCATCTAGATTTTTTCAAAAATATATTTTACCTGATACAGATGTTAGTTGAAGGTCAAAACGTGTCGTTTTTCAACACCTCTCTTTTTTTTCACTTGATTAAAACGATTTCAGCAATCTTTGATGGCAATATTTTAGTGGACTCTCTTGCGGTAACCTGCGTGGATTTGCATTCCTAATATAAGTCACACTCATTCAAGGCTATCACTATGATAGGAGGTAAGCTTCTCTCGCATTTTTTTAGTAACCTTTTGATGAAACGACAAATTTCAACGGAAATGGGAACTGTACAAGGTCC